CATGAAAAAAGCCAGGAAATGTCAGTTTTGACAATATGGGACCTTTAAATCGCAGCATTTGCGTTTTGATAATTTACACAAACCATATGCCATAGCAATTTTTTTATGTTTTTCCCAATACATCATGCAGCCCAATTCCAAAGAGTGTTTTTACAGTATTGTTAGGTAGTTGCTTAAGGCGTTACAAGTCTATTGTAAGTCAATATTTTATTTTTCACCTCTTTAGACCACTTCAGGTTATAGCTTAATTTCCTTGACTGATCTTTCTCAGAAACACAATGCAATAAAACAATGAACCTAAAAACCTGGACTAGAGACAATGAATGGCAATGTCCTGGGTGTGCACATCACAGAGGATCTCTCCTGGACTGACAACACCTACATGTGGAAGAATTGACAATAAAGCAGACTTGACTTGACTTGACTTGAAGCCAAGGGACAGAATACCATTTGAATAAACATCAATCCTCATCCACCCTGAGCTCCCCTCTTCCTCTCCTTTTCCACTAGGCTCAGATTATTAACAAGTTTGCTGTACTTATCTTTTTCATTATATGTCTCAGTGCAAATCACTTACCTAAATTAATAGTGATGCTTACCCTAGTCAATACCAAAAACACAAACTGCGATTTTAATCAAGTAATTTGCTTGTTTATATTATGTGTATTTTGGGGCATTTAAGTGTTTATTGATCAGGACAGCTTAGCAGAGGCAGGAAGCGACAGGAGAGGGATAGGATCAGTATGACCATGAGATGGGACTTGAACTTTTAATAATTTAATTAATAATTTATGCATTTAGCAGACGCTTTTATCCAAAGCGACTTACAGTGCATTCAGGCCATACATTTTTTACCAGTATGTGTGTTCCCTGGGAATCGAATCCACGACCTTTTGCACTGCTAACGCAATGCTCTACCACTGAGACACAGGAACTTGAGTCGTTTGTTATGTCAAAGTGATACCCACAAGGATTTGACCAATGTTGAGCTGGTTAATATTTGAAAAAACATTTACACTAACATTTTTCAAACAAACCTTTTTGAAGGATATGGCCGGCTTCTTCTGCAGCATTCTCCAGTTCAACAGCACGAAAAGCCTTCTTCAAACTCAGCTCCATCCTCACATCACTAATGATTTTCTTAAGCAGCTTTAGTCGTCTGCTCCGTGATGGGCTGGATTTCATTGCTGTAGTCAGATCCAACTTTTCCAGTAGCTCCCTCAGCTGCTCTTCCAATGACATGAGCTCTCGATTGGCTGGAACCAATAAGTGGTCCACTGAAAGAGTAAAAAGGCAACAATTTTTGAATGATTTGTTAAAATGTAGGGATGATAAATGCAAAAAATGTGATCATTCTGATCTGACATAACATTCAGATTTACTGATTCTATTAGTGATTCTTAGTTTCAAGGAAGCACTAAACTGAGAAGTAAGTCGCATGGTGACATTTGACAAGAAACATCATTGGTTAAGACAAAAAGACATGCTTGAATAAGTACATTTGTTTAGCTATATTTTGAAGAACACATGAAAGAAAAACAGTGGGTATGCATGTGTGATTTTCATTTTGTTTTACATGTACACATATCCAATGATCTTATACTATCACAGGGGTTGCACTGAGTGTAGTTTGCTTTATGTCCACAAGGAATTACCTTTTACAAATCATACCAAGCAAAAGACCATTGAGACTACAGATTTTGTGCATTTACCATCTTCCCAGGAGAAAGGTGCAGATGGCTCGATCTTAGGTGGTTCAAGCAGGTGCATGCCAGTTTCAAAATCAAAGCCTATTCTCACAACATCTCTGCGAGTTTTCCTTAGCACAGCTCCACCCTGGTCTCTTAATCTACCAGCTGCCCTGTAGAAGAATGTATCCTTGCCATTGTACTTCATGCAGTTTTCAATAATGAGATTGAAGTCAGCTTCAAATTTATCCAGATTCTTGTAGCCTTGTGCATCAATGCGTTTCCTCATGGTGGAAAAATCCATAGGGTGCAAGATGTGGTCCATATAGTCAGGCACCTGTGAGGAACACACAAAAAAGGATGAAATTCTGATCAGTGACAAAAAAAAAAAATAATAATAAAAGTGAAAAATACTAAATATTAAAAACATGTTGTTGTATTTTGAATCAATAATGTATCAATAATGACAGCATTGTGACAAACACAGTAAGATTTTTTTTTTATGTGCTTCCAAATTCCAGAAATCGTTCTTGATTTATTATAAGTGTTGGAAACAGTCGTGCTGTTTATTTATTTAGTTTTTGAACCTGTGATACTTTTTTCAGGATTCTGAAGATTTTTAAGGATTAATAGTAAATTTCAAAAGAAAACAAACCTCTTTAATGCTAACAGGCTCTGCAAAAATATGTGCTTGGTCTTTCTCCTGTAACTGATCCAGCACAGTCCTCAGAAGGACAGTGAAAGGAGTGAGTTGGACCTCCATTAATGTCTGCTGAAGCATAATCTGCAACATAACCACAAGAGTCATCAAGAACACAAATATGCAAACAATTAACATTAGCAAATGTTACCGTTACAAAAACTTGTCTTGATTTAAAGCAGCATATTGTTCTCGCACCTCTTCTTTCTTGAGTTTCTCTCTCTTCCTTATCAACTCTAGCAGGAGTCTTGCTCGCTCAAGGTCATGTCTCATCCGTTGCCACTCCTTCAGCTGCTCCTTCAATGCTTCAGTTTCCTCTTCTGTCTGTTTCTGTCATTACAATGTTTTCAAATTCAAGCAAACTATGTTATTAAAATGTAAAAGCATGCATGACCATGTGTCAGTGCTGCTTGAAGAAATATTTCACCTAAAAATGAATATTTGCTGAAAATTTACTCCCCCTCAGACCATCCAAGATATAGATGACTTGGTTTCTTTATTGCTTGCTCACTTGCTCAACAGTGGATCCTCTGTAGTGCATGGGTGCCATCAGAATCAGAGCCCAAGTGATGTAACACTACATTTTTCCAAATTTGTTTAGATGAAGAAGCAAACTCATCTGTCTATTTGGCCTGAGGGTTGAGTAAATTTTTAGCAAATTTTCATTTTTGTGTGAATTATTATAACGCTGCATAAGGATATAGTCAAACCAAAAATTATTCAGACACCAGATATAATTTTTGATATTTTTTTACTAGTGGGTACAGGGCACTATAGTTCATTTATGTAAGTGAACATAGCAAAATAAAGTGAACTGACATATTATACCCAAAAATTCTTTATAAAGTGGACTACCAGTAAAACTGATAAAAAATTTGGGACGAAAAATTATTCAGACACTTTGACCTGACCATGTTTTGCTTAAGTGTTTTTTCTTTAATTGCTAATGCGAACTTTTTACACCACAGACTGAACAAAATTAAGCATTGCTTGGTAATTGGTTGACCTAAATTGGTATTATCTAATTGTGTACTTAAATTTAACAGCTGAATAATTTTTGGTTGATTGTAATCCATTACATACCTAACCTTTCTATGTAATGGATTACAATCTGACATTATCAAGATGAATTTGTTTATCAAGTTACCTGACATTATAAAGATTTGTTTTGACACAGTTTAACTCTGAGTTCTTGTCATATTTTTTTTTTTACCATTTTCTAAACTATAGTGAATAAACTGTGACAATGTGAGAAATGTTGAAGGTGTCTGAATAAATTTTGGTTTGACTGTACTTACCGGCTGTGTGTTTTTCTGGGAATGTAGGCTAGTTTGGAGGCGTCTGTTGAGTGGCACTCCATTCCTTGAAAGTCTTTTAAGCATCCAATAATTCAATACAAGTTCACCAAATGCCGCCTTCTTCTGTAAAGAAACTTGATTGAGGATTGTGTTTAACCTGTAGGAGAATATGACAGTATACAATTAAATGAAAAGTCTTGATATTTGCACTGAAATGACTTAAGAGTCCAATATCTCACCAGTTTTTGTAAAATCAAAGATTTGAACAAACCTTTCAGGTGAAAAACTGGGTACAGATGCATTTGGAACTGGGCCTACAAATTCCACCTCATTGTTTTTAAGTCTCTTCTGTTTTTTTAAACTTGTCCTGCTGCTCTTTTTGTCCACTGACTGACAAAGTCTGTCATTTGTCTTAGTTTCATTATAAATTGTAAGAGGTCTTTTAATGGAGCCATTTGGGGTGTGGGCCCCACAGTAGGCTGTCTTTTTCACCGAGAAAGTGGGTACACCTGAGTCAGTCAACTCTTTAATAGGCTCCATTTTCATAAAGAGACCAGCCTTCTGTGCACAGCTGACATGAAAAGCAGTGTAGCAGTTCGCTTTGTGGCACTGGATACAAGCCCCAACACCTTTTTCTTTACAGAGGTAGCAGGTAAGCTTCCATCGAGCTGGCGGAATATTTGAAACACCATCAATAGGCTCAATGAAGACCATGTTGGAAAACCCAACCTCGGGAACCCATAAAGCACAAACAACATGACCCCACTGGTCATCTTCTGTCTTTTTGACCGCTCCTCCCTTGTTAGGGCAGAGGATGCAGTTAGCGGGTTGTGTTGGGGACTGCAGACAATGTCGGCAAAGCCACTGTCCCTCTGGAATATATGGAACACCATAACAATCCTGATGAACAGCTAGATTGCACATATCGCAGAACAGGATGACATTGCTGTCCATGCAGTCTCCATCCATGCATATGCAGCAAACAGCATCTTCATCGATTAAGGACTGTAGACTCTGTTGGCACTGAATCTCTAAAAATGATTCTTTTTCAAAACGGTCAAGAAGGAACTCAAAGGCATTAGGGGAAACCGGGTTAAGACCTTCATTCTTTCTTTTCTCATTGATCAGCTCAAGCCAGGCATAGTCCTCTTCGTCCATATCATATTCCACCTCCTCATTTAGCTCTTCTGAAGTTTTCTCCTCATACTTGTAGTATGTAGAAGGTCTGCGTGGGATTGCTGGGAGATTGTAATCCACTGTGCGGAATTTGGGCTCGGGAAGAGTGCTGCCTTGCACTAAAGCATTTTGTGCGGTGACAGCAGTGCTCTTTTTCTTCTGGCTGTTTCTGAGGCGTGCAGAACGTACCAAAACCTGCTGGTGTTTTTCAGCATTCTCCTTATTGCTGGTACACTCCATAATTTCCTGTGCAATGGGATCCTCATCCGTGATGATGTAGAGCTTGTCAAAGATGCTGAACCGGTGCAACCGGCCATTAACTTCTAGTTCGATCATTCTCTGGGCCTGGGCGTAAGGCAGCATCTCACGGTTTGAGGAAAGTTTGATAGGGGAAGGTAGCCACTGAGGGGAGAATACTTTGTGAGGTAGAGATTTTCTCTTCATTGGGGATCCTTACAAAGCTGAAAAGTTAAGAACCAGTGTTATTCCTAATTCAACAGTGCATTTGAATTATATGTTGATGCAACCCACAAAAATTAAACCATGCTGATTTACTTGACTGAATCTAAATAATCCATGTCACAGTGGAGGAAGTTATTCAAAAGTACTGTTACCAAGGTACAATGATGCTTTGGTACTGTTGTATACAACGGCACTGAAGCCGTTTCGTTTTCTAAAGTTCCGTTAAAAGCTATTTCTACTTCAACTACAGTTTTATCAAGGGATTATTAGGTTACTACAAGATAGCATTGATTAGTATAGCAGCGTAGGCGCAATTAGGTCGCATTTTCGGGCATCACAGGAGAGATCAGAGACACCATTCGGACGTACAATTCAAAACATTTTGGCCATTTTACGTGCATCCCAAACATTCGAATCGAAACATTTTTTCAACATCACGGCAGCGTTTTGGGGGTCGCCTATCCCCTAACATACTGTCCATGTAGGCAGTTCGCGATGTTTTGAGACACTATGAAGATGCACATTCAAATCTTATCTTTATATTCCCAGGCATTAACAGGTGCATATCGCAAAACAATGACGGTTATCTTATGATCGATCATTTTACCTCTGATCTGCTGAATAAAGAAAGGAACAGCTTTCTGGCGAGGTGGCCTGCGGTTATTCCGTACACAATGTTATCATCCAAGGACCACCAATTTAAATCTGCATGGATAAATCTGGAATGCTGCAAACGCTTTAACCACAGCGGCCGCCAGGACTATAATTATGAACTAATAATCACTACGAGAACGCTTGGTTTGATTGCCATTCAAACATAGCGTCGTTTCCTTGCTGCGACGAGCTGCTATACGACTCTTCGCCTGCAACCAACAACAATGCGGATGGTTCACTACAAATAGACGTCCCACCCGCAACGCATGGCGTCATGACGTACCCAGCTCGCTCATAGGGTCTCACCGTCTCACAGGCTAGACAATATTAATTTCATTGTGACCGTGATATTTCCTAAAGGAAAATGTTTTAATGTACTTTATATATATATATATATATATATATATATATATATATATATATTTTTCTCATGAAAATTTCTTTCCAAAGAACCAGTTTGACAAAACATGCGTGATTTAATTTTATACTATTCATGTTCTGTATTTGTACTATTTATATTATTTATTTATAATACTGGCATGATTTTGTTATGCATTTTAATTGTTTCAGCTTAATGATTCTAAGTACAACAATAAAAAAATCATTTCCATCCTCAATTCAAAATCTCAATTACATTTACAATTACAGTGTTGTATGAAGCTCTACGAACACAAACATATTTATCATTTAATTTGCAAACAGGAAATACAAATAAATAGAAAGCTGGTTGAGGACAATAGGCTATAGTATCTCATAAACAGCAAAAATCCAGAAAAATGCCACATGTATTAAATTGACCTAAAAACACATTTAAACATCTAAGGGCCTGTGTGTTTTGCCTGACTGCCCCTGAGAGAGACCCTGGGGTCAAGAAACCCCGTGTGTTTGCTTTAGTAAACCCTCGTTATTTGTTATCTGCGGTTTGACCGTCTATGCATAAGTATGCAAAGTGTAGAATCAGTTGCTTCGTAATTTTATTTACATGATTATGACCTCTTATCGGCTATGAGATTGAAATGACGGTAGTTTCGTGTTATTAACCCCACCCACTATATCGAAAGCCTCTGTGACGCCATAGAGCCATGTTTCTTCCGTCTGACGCCGTGTGGCGCTACTACTGCGCACTGTTTACGGCACAGAAGACAAAGCAACCAACTCAATTACAACACTGGATCAACCGTGCGCTTTATTTAACCATTTCACAGCCGAAACTCACTTAAGTAAAGCCCAGGACACGAAGGTAAGCTATGCTTATGTCTTTTTATTTGAGTGTTTATATTGTCTCGGGAAGACGCATGCATGATTTTGGTTTAGATCCAGTGACCCGGCTAGTTCGACGAGCTTCTCTGTTTTGTGCGACCAGGATCCGGTTCTGCCTCATCAGGTTATGTCCTGTGTGGCCTAACATAACCACACAATTGAGTTGTCACTAAGTCAAATACGCTCTTTCTATGTGATTAAACGATTCTACGTAGGCATTTTAAATCCCCAAGCAGTCGTATTTACAAATTAAATAATAAGAAAACACACACAAGTAACTCGAGTTTTATGTCCATATGGCAGGAGAGAACCGTGAAGTGTTTTCCTGTTTTGTCTACGAGCTAATGCACTAGCCGCTAGCATGTGTCGCTCTAGCTAGCGCCTACATCTCGTGAGGTCGCGAGAGCGTGTGTTGAGACAAGTACCTCAAGCAGCACCCAACTTCCTTATTAGAAACATCTGAGATAAATTGTACATAATTTTATTCGAACTACATGGAACATACAACAGCATACGGTCATAATTATCATAGTAGGTTGCTCAATGTATATTTTTGATTTTCTTTTTAATTTATGGCTTTATGTCGTGACAACTGACAGAAAATTTGAACGTTATTTACTATACTCTTTACACCAAATAAAACAAATTCCACTTTGAAATATTTTAGCATACACGTATAATGTATATGTTGTTTTTGCTATTAATTGCTGTAATTGGCCAGATTGTCATTGATGACAACAACTGACGTTTTGTTAATCTGTATCGCTATGTTCCGTTATGAACAGGTTAAAACCAGGAAAGGGCTGTATGACTTTGTTAAATATGGAGGTACTTCGGAACAAAAAACACCAAGGATTCAAATAGTAATAGTTTATATAGAGGAAAATATACCTATTGGGTCAATATCCACACATAGGCCTACTTAATTTCTTGAATTGCAACAGTTTATCACAGTATAGCTTTCTCATAGCTCTGTGTAGTTACAGGTCCATTAAAGATGTCACTCAGAATGTTTATACATATACAGCACTTTTGCAGGCACAACGCATTTGGAAGGCTTCAAAGTGCACAAAATCATTTCTGATCTGTAGGCATCCATAGCAGCCTTATGCAGGTTATATAATTATTTCAATGTTGGACAAGTTTCCCATTTATTTTAAAGTATCATTATCATGTTCACATGAATGAATGGGTTGTATTAGTGCTGGGCAGTATACCGGTTCATACCGAATACCGTGTTTATTTTTGTTATGATATGAATTTTTAAAATACCGCAGTATGTCGCTTAAACAACGGTCGGAACGCGACACTGTTTGAAAGGGGTCCCTCTTCACTGTTGCACTGTGTAAATACCGTGATATAAATTTTTGGTCATACCGCCCAGCACTAGGTTGTATTATCATATAATATTCATGTATGATTGATCATTGCTACTGATCCCAAATATATATGCACCAATAGTAATATCGGCCATAAATAAGATAATTATTTTTGTGTTATGCTGATAACTGACTAACTAACTAACTGTCTGTTTTGGCTGTTAGGGCTATATGGTTATTTTCATTGGAGATACTTATAAAGCTGAAAAGAGAGAACAGAACCAGTGTTATTCCTAATACAACAACAATAATAATAATAAATATAGCTGCAAGCAGCAATCACGGGGCCAAGCACTCCAGAGGCAAATTGAGG